AGTAGAGACGGGGTTTCACCATGTTGACCAGGATGGTCTCGATCTCTTGACCTCGTGATCCACCCGCCTCGGCCTCCCAAAGTGCTGGGATTACAGGCTTGAGCCACTGCGCCCGGCCACATGAGTATAATTCTACTCTCAATCTAGGATGTAGTAGTTGCCTAAACACTTGTCCTCTTTTCCTCCAGAATTTTCTTTAATTCTCTGACATTGCTTCTCGGAAAGAAACCAAGGTAAGAATTGGAAGGAAAGGTAGAAATAATTGACAATCAATGTTTTGGTAAAATCCACACAATAATAGAAAGTAGACAGTAGGTAGGAATTTAATCTATGAATTTATTGGATTTAATCTATGTTTATACTTTGGCCATAATTAGTCATTATTAACCCTGGTGGTACATTAGAATCACCCAGGTAGTTTTTTAAAAAAATATTGATGCTACTGAGCTCAACTTCCAGAGATTCCTGTTTAAATTGTTCTAAGCTAGGATATAGTAAGGGTATTTCTTAAAAGATTCCTGGCTGGGAGCAGTGGCTCACGCCTGTAATCCCAGCACTTTGGGAGGCCGAGGTGGGCAGATCATTTGAGATCGGGAGTTTGAGACTAGCCAGGCCAACATGGTGAAACCTCATCTCTACTAAAAATAAAAATAAAAATAGCTGGGTATGGTGGTGTGTGCCTATAATTCCTGCTACTGGGGAGGCTGAGGCAGGAAAATCACTTGAACCCAGGATGCAGAGACTGCAGTGACCTGAGACTGCACCACAGCACTACAACCTGGGCAACAGAGCAAGACTCAGTCTCAAAAAAAAAAAAGAAAAGAAGAAAGCTTCCCAAGTGATTCCAAAGTACAGTCAGTTTAGAACCACTCATCCAGATCAGGAACAAGTCTAGCCCACTGCTGTTTTTATAAATTAAGTTTTATTCAAACATAATTATACTCATTCTGTATATATGGGGGCCCCTGAACAATACAAGTTGGAACTGTGCAGGTCCACTTACATGTGGCTTTTTTCCAACCAAACACAGATCGAAAATACAGTATTCATGGATGAGAAACCCATGTATATGGAAGGCTGACTTTTCTTACAGATGGGTTCCACAGGGCTGACTGCGGAATTTGAGTATGCAGAGATTTGGTTATAAGCAGCCTGTCCTGGAATCCATCCCACACATATACTGAGGGATGACTGCATTGTCTCTGGCTGTGTTTGCACCATAGTCACAGAGCTGAGTAGTCGGGTAGAGACCACATGTGACCTACAACCCTAATGACAGAAATAGTTACTATCTGGTCTTTTACAGAGATGATTTTCTGGTCCCTAATTAACACTGAATCAGGTTTGAGAAAAAAATTGAGACCTAATAATAAAAATCTGTTTCAATTCATAATGAAAGTTCACAGAAATTTAAAAATTCCCACAAAACTTTTTCTTTTTGAAAGATGTTTCCTAATTGCTATAATGTTTTGAAACATTCCTAATTACTATTAAGGTGGTATGAAAAGTACTTTTTGACTATGTGAAAAATTATTTAATGGAACATTAAAATTTTAGAATGGGCAATTCAATGTTTCCCTACTATTCCCCCTTCCTCTGGTAAATTCTTTATAACTGGGCCAAATAAGAAAAAGAGTTAACATTACAGGGAGATAACAGATTTATTCTACTAGTATTGAAAAAATTGGTCAAATTGTACCAGATATGGAATTCCAGTTCTATTGATATTAATTTCCAGCAAAAATAATGCAACAAACAAAACAGTGAGGCAAATCTAGCAAAACATTGAGTAGGATGTAAGATTTAGGGGAGGGGAGTAGGCAGGATTACAGGTGAATTTTTTAAACACTCCTGTATATTTTCCAAATTTCTTCAATGGTATTTTTTTTTATAAAAGCAAAAAAAAATATTGATCTGTACAATCTGATCTAGAGCAAAAACTCCAACAATTTTTTTTTGGTAGACCTATGTATCTCTCAATAATGGCTTGAATTAACAACAAATGCCAATTGTTGCTATGGACAATTCAGTGAGACTTTCCTATTTCCAAGAACTGCAACCCCACATTATATTGGTACTCTTAAAAAATAACCAGAAATCAATATTCTGATTTATAGATGAAGACTGGAGCCCAGATTGCCTAAGTCATAGACAACTGGAGAAAACGGCTGCTATAGAGAGAATTTTTCCCACTAATGGAAATGAATGCACTTCCTTCTTATAACTGTCAACAGAGTACTTCAACTCCCATAGTAGCCCAGAATATTGTTTTCTTAATGTTGTTTTCTTGGTTGTTAAAGAGGATGCAGCTCCCTTTGTGTCTAAACAGTTCTACAAAGGACGCTTTTTTACTGAGGGGAAAGTGACTTAAAAGCTGGCTTAAAGGCATCTGTTGACTCTGACTTCATTTTGCCCAAGAGTTGGGGGAGGGAGGAAGCAACAGGCTTTGAAACAGTGGCCACAGCTACAAAAATCAACAAATAAAGTCTTTACTGTGTCTAGTCCAGAAGGTTTGCTGATTTGTGTCATTTACCCTTATACAAATACCACAATTTTTAAAAAATTAAATAACATAGTAGATACCTGCCCCCAAACGTTTTTCTCAATGAGAATAGAGACTACAAGATACATTTAATTAGAGTTATGCATTTTAGGAAAGATCCCAGGATAGGATTTTCCACTGTAACAGAACAGACTGTTCCCTCTCCCTCAAATCAGCAAGTTTCAAGTTTCCACTGCAAGAAAACCACTTCAGTACAATACAGGAAAGCTTTCTGGAATATAATTTCAGAAAGATGATGAAAGAGAGAAAGGCGAAATACAGTTCTCTTAGCTTTTGGTGGGTTTCACTTCCTTCAATTCCCACTCTGCCCCCAAGCCCCCATCACATACAGCTTCAGATCTCTTTATATTTTTATTTTGAGTACCTGCTCCAATTCATAGGCCTTTGCCTTATCCTCATCCCGGTCTGCATTCTTCCGATAGGCCAGGCCCAAACCCCACACAGCCAAGATGCTGTACACATTATCTCGGACCCAAGCATCTTTCTGATCATAGCTGGCTGGAAGCAAGCCAGTAACTGGATTCTGCAAGGTGAAGAAAAAGAGGGCAGGAAGGTAACCATAGGTTGTTAACATTAGGAAACAGAATCTTCCAAATGGGTTTTTTAGGGACTTCAGTCTTTCTTCTACTTTTCCACTGTTGAATTTTATAACCTCCTCTTTTGCTGACCTATGGCAGGCAAATGCTATCTTCCCACCCTCCCAAGCTTTACTCAGCTACATTGGACACTTTAAAAACTGTGTATATTTAGGGAGTACAACATGATGATTTATGTATTCATTGGGAAATGATAACCACAATGACGTTTATTACCACGTCTACCATCTCACAGTTACCTTTTTTTGGTGTGGTGAGAATACTTAAGATCTCTCTTAGCAAATTTCAAGTATACAATACAGTATGCTTAACTACAGTCACCATGCTGCTATATGTTAGATCCCCAGAACTTGCTCATCTTATAACTGAAACTTTGTGCCCTTTGCAAACGCTATCTTGAATAAGGGGTAAGTGGTGGCTGATGCCTTTCAAGTCTGAAATGTATTATTAAAGACACAATTAAAGGTATTATAAAGTGCACTTATAATGGATATAATTAAAAGAAAGTGTTAACTTTCTAGTTAGAAAGAATGAACTAGTGAACTAGCAATGAAAAACCCGCAGAAAGGAGCAGAAAAAAATATAATTAATAGTCTGTACAAAGTGCCTCTGACCTTCACAAGTCTAGTCTTAAAATGGATTAAAAAAAGAATGTTCCTTTACCTCTTTTCTTTGGAGGAAGGGGAAGGAGATGACACCCAAACCTGGTGTGTGTGTTTGTGTGTCAATAAACAAGTGAAAAAACTTCTTGCAACTCTGCCCCTGGAACTCTGCTATTGGCTAGGGGAGGGGGGGGGCGGGGGGCGGTAGGGGGTTCAAAGGCATGACTGGAGCTCCTGACTAAAGGTGCCTGGCCAGCTCTGTTCCTGGTCCAACACCTACCTTTCCTTCAGGGTCCTTTACCACCTCCCCAGCTAGGAGGCGGGAGAACCTGCTACAGACAGACACACACACACACAGAGTTTATAAAAGGTCTCCGTCCAGGCTATCATACGCTACATCCTCGTTCGCTGATTACAGGCGACACCCCTGCACTTACCTGATGGCACAGGATGGTCTGTTGCACCAGCCGAGCATAGCCATCCAGCCGGACCCCAGAGTTACTCCGGCTCCTCATGGCGACACGTTTCTAATTGTCCTCTGAGAAACAGCCCGGGTGCCACCGGAGCCTTCGGTCCCTAAGGAACGAGGATCCAATGCAGCTCCACCCTCGTGGTGGGAGGCCCAAGTGCCAGGCCCCACAGAGCCCTCCCACCGCTCAGGCCTGGCGCGGCGGGTTCTGCGTAGCGTTCGGGGCTCCGGCGGCCTGTGGGGCCCACCACCCGCCAGCGCTAGTAGCCGCCTCCCGCAGACTAGAGCCCCGCCGCAGCTGTCCCTCTAGTCCCGTCCGTCCTCCGCTCAACTCAGGGAGACCTCCGCGGCCCACAGTCTCCCGCCCAGCCGCCGCCGACAGGTCAGCGACAGCAGCACCGCCTCCACCTTGGCGGCGACGCGAGTGAGAGGCGGGGCGCGAGCGGCGGGTTCTGGCAGCTGCGCGCTGCGACCCCGGAGCTTGCACGCCCCGGGGCCGAGAATGTGTCACCGTAGGCAATGTGCTTTCCGAGGTTTATTTTCGAAACACCGCAGATGACTATTTCAGTTTTCCACACTTGCTGTGCACACAGGATGTTGAGGAGGTTCTTCTTTCTTCTACAGGACTAGTTTTATACAGGGACCTACGGTAAACTTCAAAACTGAAAGTCACCTTTGTGTTCCGGTCTAAAGACTTGGATTTCTGAGTCTTTATTGTATTGTAGATTTTGACTTTAAAGGCTCAAATTACACACCTCACTCCGACCCAAACTAACCAAACAGGAACTCTTAGGTTACTTTACTCTTTAGTAACTAGCGAGTCTGCGGGCTTGGGAGGGAGGAGGCGGCGGTGCGCTCTGAGGAAGGCAGTACCCCAGGCGGGGAACAGCTGGGAGCTAGCAAGCCCCTGAGAGCGGCTTTGGCAGAACTGGAGCTGGAAGAGAGCCTGTAACTGCTTTGGTTGGCTCCCTCGTGCGCACATATGTCACAAGACTGAGGCAACAAACACTCAGCTGAAAATAAAGTAGGAAAGGAAAGCTGTATAAGAAGATTGCAGGCCGGGCGCAGTGGCTCACTCCTGTAATTCCAGCACTTTGGGAGGTCGAGGCGGGCGGATCGCCTGAGGTCAGGAGTTCGAGACCATCCTGGCCAACATGGCGAAACCCAATCTCTACTAAAAATACAAAATTAACCGGGCGTGGTGGCGCGGGCCTGTAATCCCAGCTACTCGGGAGGCTGAGGCAGGAGAATCACTTGAATCCGGGTGGCGGAGGTTGCAGTGAGCCGAGATCACTCCACTGCACTCCAGCCCGGGCAACGAAGCAAGGCTCCTTCTCAAAAAAAATAAATAAATAAAATAAAATAAATAACAGCAGCAGCAGCTTGCAATAGCCGAGTGGCTTACCACTGTAATCCCAGCACTTTGGGAGGCTGAGGTGGGTGGATCACCTGAGCTCAGGAGTTTGAGACCAGCCTGGCCAACATGGTGAAACCCTGTCTCTACTAAAAATACAAAAATTAGCCCGGCGTGGTGGCGCACTCCTATAGTCCCAGCTACTTGGGAGGCTGAAGCAGGAGAATCGCTTGAGCCCGGGAGGTAGAGGTTGCAGTGAGCCGAGATGGCGCCACTGCACTCCAGTCTGGGCGACAATAGCAAAACTCAGTAACAAAACGTCTCAAGGGGAAAAAAAAAGGCAGCAGCTTGCAGGTAACGTTGCTTGCTGGCTTCCGGGAATCAGTCTGCAGCCCTTGGGGCGGCCCAGCAGGGATCTCAGTGCCTTTGCTCCCTCCATTTCAAGGCCCTTCTTCCACCCCCCTCCTCTTGCTCTCTGCTTATTCGAACCTTGCAAACCTTTCAAGGCCCTGCTTAAGTACCACCTATTCCCTGAATCGCGGGATAAGAGAATTAGACCGATTGACTTCAAGTTCTAAGCCTTCCTTAGCCACCTCATCCAGGCCACGGTGATTTTGGCATTTTCGTTTATCTTATTTCTCTTCTCATAAGCTCTCTCCGTTCCACCCCAAAACCCCCGCCCAATTTAGCATAGATCCAGGCACCTAGGAAGTAACTAGTTATTTGGTAGTGATTATGAGGAAGGAGGGAATGCTTAATAACTCAAATCTGGGACTTTCAGGTTCAATAGCCAGACAGTGATACAGATAGATATCGTGACACACTTAGAATTCTCAAGAAGATGCTTTCCATTGCAGTCACTCCCCACGCAAATGCAATGACTGGCAAATAACAAGCCACTTCAAAATCTAGGTGCATACTGGAAGAAAAAGTCTTTCCAGAGAAAGCAGTGCATCTTGGACTTTTTTTTTTCTTCTTTTCTTTTCTTTTTTGAGACAGAATCTCACTCTGTCGCACAGGCTGGAGTGCAGCGACGCGATTTCCGCTCACTGCAACCTCCCGGGTTCAAGTGATTCTCTCCTGCCTCAGCCTCACGAATACTTGGGACTACAGGCATCTGCCAACACACCTGGCTAATTTTTGTATTTTTAGTAGAGACGGGGTTTCACCATGTTGTCCAGGCTGGTCTCGAACTTGGATTTGCATCTTGATCATCGCTGCTCTGCCCCTAACTCGCTGACATCTTCCTCTCAGCTGTAGCCTCAAAAGCCATATCTCTACTCTTGTGCCCCCTTCAAGCTAGAACCTCTCTTTTTCTTCACCTTCATTTAAATATGTTTATGAAATATTAAATATTTATATTTATTTTAAATATTAAATATGAAAGTAATGCACACTAAATAAAACATGGAAAGTGTAGAAAAGTAAAACAAAGAAAATATTAAAATCACCCATAATTCCTTCACAGAACCACATGTTAATATTTTATTTTTTCCCACGTAGACCTTCTCCACTCCCCTTCAAGCTGTTTGGAAGTTTGACTAGATCAGATATGGCAAAGGCAGGGTGTCACTACAAAAGACTACTGGCTGGTTATCAAGAGGTCTTGCTGGTTGGCATTGCCTTGGTGTTTTTTCAACCTCCGTCCAGGCTTGGCTTTCAGTCTTGCAGTCTGGGAAACTCGGTCTGTTCAGTGTCCCAGAACTGGTTGGAGTCAGAGGCTGACTCACGCTGATTACCTCACAGGAGCCTGATGTATAAAAACCAGGATGCAGGTTGATAATGGGAAATAGAACTATGATACTGTTTATATCGGCCTGACCATCACATTCCCTCCCTTTAATAATGTGCAGCCTCACTACATACCAGGTGCTGTTTTGCTTTATGCAATAACTCTATGAAGTAGACACTTGGTAATCCCATTGGAGAGATGGAGAAATGGAGGCACATAAAGATTAAGAAACTCACAAGTCTGCTGTGTCCATGTTGGCCTCACTGATTCTCCCTTTTCTACACTTCCATGGCTCACTGGCATATTTTTTCCTTACACATGTCAAAATCGTCAACCAAGTTATAGACAAGAATTGCCAGTGGAAGGCATTATGTTTCGTGAAGGTGATTTTTCTCTTTGATTCATTGTACATTCACTTTACAGTGTGACTCTCAAGTAAGATTTTATTTCCAAGTTCCTGAGACAGTTTTATTGTTGCTCTCTTAAATTACCTAAATTTTTTCATCATATCATTTTTTAAAATCCAACAAGTTTAAAACTTCACATGCTATAAGCATTTTCCATTAATATCTGTACTAATCTTCCGTCTAGTAGATGTTCTACAGTTTGCTTATTCTCATCATCATTAAAAATAATTCCTTTATTATTTAATTTATTGAAAGAAAATACACTATTTCCTTTCCATTATTTCTCATTCACTCTCTTTAAGGTAGTGAATGAATTATTTTTTTAAATTATACAGGTAACATTTGAATGCATTCTCAATGAAAATATTTGAAATATTACAGATTAGACTAAAGTTCCCTATGTCTATCATCCCCTGTCACAGTCCCCTTTATCTCCCTTCCCAATGGTAACCATCATTATTGAGTTGGTTCGTGCCCTTTCAGATTTCTTTCTATGGATTTACATATATATGTAGAACTGAATATAAAATATGTAGTTTTGTTTTCTGTGTATTCATTTAATATGAGCTGTATTATACTGTACCTACACTTCACATGTAGCTTTATTCACTCAAAATTATACCATGAAGATTTAGTCCTATTATTACCTAGAGAGCTATGTCATACACCATGGTAGGCATTCCTTTATTGATAAGCATTTAGTTTGTTTCCCCCCTAGAACTCTTGAAAACAGTACTTCAGTAAACATACATATATATCTTCTTTGAATGCATACAGGTATTTGGAAATGTGCATTTTAAATTTTGATATAAATATAAATATAGGGCATCTTTTAATTTTTATTTTCTGGAATACTAATGTCATTGATCATCTTTAAATGTTTATTTTAGTTTAATTTATGTTTGTTTATTTAGTTTGTTTTATTTCTTCTGGTTAAAACTGTTAGGAGAAAAGGGGTCTCAATACAGACTCCAAGAGGGAGTTCTCAGATCTCATGCAGGAAGGAATTCACTGCGAGTCACAGAGCACAGTGAAGGAAGCAAGTTTACTAGAAACTACTCTGTTACAGAGTAAGGTGTCCTCAGAAAGCAGGTAGATGAACACACTGTCTTAGTTTTAAGTTTTTCTTATGTAGCGGTCTTGTCCACGTAAACAATAAACCAAGTTGTGTCTACTCGAGGGTGAGTAGACAGCATGACAAAATTTATTCTTCTCTTGATTTAAAGAAAACTATCCTTGACATTTTAGTGCATGAAGACATCAAAGCATAACTATAATTATCTTGAAAACGTCTATTGTTATGGGTATTGGGACATCTAGACTTGTCCCTTGTAGGTGTCTTTAGGCTGATTCCTCAACTGTAAACATCATATAAATGTGGGTCGTGACTGGCAAGGAATGTACCTTATTCAACTCAAGACGAAGCTGAACTGAAAATGGTGTTAATCTGGCTCTCCTAGGCTCTTGTTTCCTAACAGAACTGCTCTTATACTTAGTCATTTCTCTATTGGGTTGCCTTTTTCTTTTTGAGTTCAGCAATTTTTACAACTTATATATCCCGGACTTTAGCCTTTTTTCTAAAAGAAATGTGTAAGAGATGCACATGTTTTCCCATAAGCGGTTTGTCTATTAACATTATTTATGATGTCTAGTTTCATATAGCTTTCATTTTGAATGAAGTCAAATTTATGAATCTTTTCCCTTTTGTCTTAATTTAAAAGGCCTTTGCAGTGGGTCGAACAGTGCCCCCCACCCATACAAAACATATGTCCACCTAGAACATGCAAATGTGACATTATTTGGAAAATGAGCCTTTGCAGCTATAATTAAGGATCTGGAGATGAGATCCAGTTGGATTTTACAACTGAGCCCTAAATCTAATGATGGGCACCCTAATAAGAAGAGGAGATGACACACAGGAAGAAGGTAGCTATCTAAAG